GCATATACCACATTTATTTTTCCATTTATCAGTTAATACACATTTAGGTTGCTTCTACTTTTTTGACTATTCTAATTTCCACACAGCCTTACAACACTTGTTATTGTTATGCATCTTTGCAGGGGGGCAGTTGTTCTGTTATTGTGTATCTGTTCGGGGGAGGGAGCAGAATATTGAATCAAGGGCATCACACATTCTACACAAGTGCCCCACCGCTGAGAGCAGCTATATCGCTAGTCCCCTCTCTTTTCTAATTTTAATTTTTGGGCTGGAGATTTAGCTCAGTGGTTCCACCTCCGCTTCATAAGCACAAAGTCCTGAGTTTGATCCCTGGTACCAAAAGTAAATAAATAAATAAAAAGGTTTTTTGTACTGGGGATTGAACTGGGGACCTTGCGCTTATGAGGCAGGTGGGAGCACCATCTAATTTTAATTTTTGAGACAGGGTTTCACTAAGTTGCCCAGTCTGGCCCCAAACTGGTGATCCTCCTGGCTCAACCTCCCAAGTAGCTAAGAGTTTATGCCACTGCACCTGGATATTACCTATTTTTTATTACAGTCATGTTAGTAGGGAAGCTGTAAGACCTCATTGTGGTTTGATTTGCACATATGCACTTTCCTGAAGACGAATGATGTTGACCATCGTGTGATGTACATATTTTATTGATTGTTATGACTTGTGTCTAGAGGTCCCCCTAAAGCCTCATGTGAATGAGATGGAGGGCTATTTTGGAGGTGGCTGATTCTAGAGTGTGTTGGTTCATGGTGCAATGCTAGGCCTCAGAGCACTAGGATTAAGGTTGTGAGTGATACCCACCCTAACTAATCTGAATAAGAGAAAAGGTACAGGAAGATGCTATTAAGGTCTGTTGTTTTTGCTGTCTTCCACCACTATGAACTATTGGCCCTCTGACTCCCTACCAGCCAATGATGGACTGAAACCTCTACAAACTGCAAGTCAAATAAACCTTTTCCCCTTTAACTTTGGGTTTCAGGTATTTTGACTCAGCAATGACAAAAAGTAACTAAAACATTGGTCATGGAGAAATACATGTTGAAATTCTTCATCCATTATTTCTCTGAGTTTTATTGAGCTTTAGAAAATCTTTATAAATTCTGGACAGTAGAGATTTGTCAGAAAAATAACTGTAAGTACTTTCTCCATTCTGTGGATTATCTTCACTTTCTTGATGTATTTTTTTGTTTTTTCTTTTCTCTTTTTTTCTCAGCTCAAATTCACAGCGAGCATCCTGCCTCAGCCTTTTTATTTTGACAAGTCCAATGTATTTTTTTGTTTTGCTTAAATTAAAAAAATAATAATTTATTGAGGCAAAAGTTCCATAACATAGAATTTACTATTTTAAAATGAGGGATGGGAGGGGAAGAAAACACACAAAGAATTGAAATATATGATGTCACTGGGCTTGGTGGCACATGCCTGTAACCCCAGCACTCAGGAGGCTGAGGTAGGAGAATCACAGGAAGTTCAGGCCAGAATATGCTAAACAGTGAGTTCAAGCCTGGACTACACAGTGAGACCCCGTCTCAAAAGCAACAACAACAACAAAAGATATATCATGTAAATGTAGCAATTCCCCACAATGAATGTAATAGTACTAGTAAATGTGTACTAGTAAAAATAAACATGTTAAAAATAAACAATTCAGGGGCATACAGTACATTCACAATGTTATGCAATCACCACCTCTATCTAGTTCTAAAACATTTCTATTCCTCCAAAGTAAAATTTCTTACCCATTAAATAGCTTCTCCCCATTCCCTCCTTTCTCCAGCCTCTATCAACGCACCCCTACATTTCATCTTTATGGATTTATCTATTCTAGATATACAGTATGTGTTTATATGTATCTTTCTGTTGCAATCCCCCTTGCAATACTAGGGATGTTTACATTTCTTCTGTTTTAAGTTTGAGACAGTGTCTCATTATGCTGCCCAGGCTGAACTCAAACTCATGATCCTCCTGGCTCAGCCTCCTGAGTAGCTGGGATTACAGGCTGTGTCTGTCATTTACTTAGCAAAATATTTTCCAAGTTTATCCACATTTAGCATGTATCAGAACTTCATTCCATTTTATGGCTTAGTAATACTCCATTACATCGATACTGTATAACAAAATCTGCCCCTTCATCCATTTATTGACATTTGGGCTGTTTCTATGTGTTGGCTCTTGTGATTGGTGCTATGAACATGTGTGTACATGTACTTGCTTGAGTACCTGTTTCAATTATCTGTATACACATTTAGGTGTACAACTGCTGGATTATGTGGTGATTCTATGTTTACACTTTGAGGCACCACCAGACTGTTTTTCACAGTAACTGAATCATTTTGCATTCTCACCAGCAAGGTAAAAGGGTTTAAATTTTTCCCGTCCTCACCAAGTTATTTTCCAAATTTTAAAAACTATCATTATTTTTATCATTATATCTATCCCAGCTTGTAAGAAATATGTACTTAGCTTTGTGGGGTGTGGTTTGGTTTGTTTGGTTTGGTTTTTTGAGACAGGGTCTCACTATATAGTTCAGGCTGGCCTTGAACTCACTAAGCAGCCTAGATTTGCCTTGAACTTGCAGTAATCCTCCTGCCTCAGCTTCCTGAGTGCTGGGATTACAGCTATGTACCTCCATGGCTAACCATTATACTTAGCTTTAACATCTCTGTTCTGCTTACCTCACGAACAGAGTAATCTTCTCATCTCTAATCTCCCTTTGTTTAGAGAATGCAGAACACATAGACTGCATGAAATGGGCCTAAAAGAAAAATACCCATGACCTAGCATCAGCCTTACCTTCTTCACAAACCGCGCCCTCACTGCCCTTGCAGGCTCTGATCTCCTGGATCCAGTATCATGGAGACAGCATTTTGGTAACAATGCTAGCTGATTTTTCCAGATAGAATCCTTGCCTTTTGACCTGAAGTATCTAAATCACTCTTGCAGATTGTAAATCCCTAATTTGACAAAAACACATATGGCCTGATAATGTATCTTAGAAGACTTGCAGGCTGGGCCAGGTATTTAGATCAATGGTTCAACCTTGGAAAGCTCAAGGTCCTGAGTTAATTTCCCCAGTAACACAAACAAACAAAAAAGAAGACTTGCAGACTGCTCGAGGCATCCCCTTGGAGGATGGCAGAGAAGAGCCTTTGCAAAAGTGGCCCAACTTTTACTGTTGTGTATAACTCTTCTGGCAGAAGTGTTTTTGATGGTATAAAAAAAGAGGGTTGCATGCTGATAATGGTTAGGTTTTTTTGTTGTTGTTGTTTTGTGTTGTTTTTTGGTACTGGGGATCGAACTCAGGACCTTGCACTTGTGAGGCAGGCAGCAGCACCACTGAGCTAAATCCCCAGCCCGTGATAATGGTTAGTTTAATAAGGCTACTTCCCATCTTTCTTTCAAGTCTCAGTTCAAGTATTACATTCTCCATAAAGCTTCCTGAACTCCAATAGAAAAATCCCTATTTTGTACCCTCAACTAAACTCTGCAAAGACTTACATAATAGATGTAACATTGACTATATTTGTTGACCATTTACTGTATTGTTGACATGTACAGTGCTCAACAAATGTTAATTAGTGGAAGGCCTTTGATCAGTACAGCCATATAAAAAGTACAGTCATTCATTTGTCATTTACTCAACATATATCAATAACTGGTGAGGAAATGTATCCTAAGGAACAGTCTTCTTCCAGGTTATTCTATCTCACACTTTCAAAAAGTGTAGACCACCTGTATTAGGAGATCAGCACACGCCAAGTCACACCCATGGACAGGGAAATGTAAATTACTTATCTGGACTAGATCCTGTCTCTATAGCATTCTGGCACCGTACACTAAAGCCAGCAGCTCCCAAAGGGCAGGGAGTGGGTCCTAAGAATCTGTGTGGTCAAGCTAATGTCCTAAGAAATCTTACTACTTATGTTCCCCTTTGGTTCACTTAAAATAAGAAAAAGGATGACAGGGATGTCCATTCTTACTATGTACATTTCTAGAGCCTAAAAAGTACATAATGCTCTGAATTAGACCCTGGCTGCAGAGACTACCCTTTTGTAGGCTGGACTATGCCTCTAACGCTGCAGGAAAAGCCCTTTAATCTTCACTGGTCATTCAAGAACACAAAGATTTTCAGCCATCAGCTTCTTTATTCTTCAAAGGTATTGCGAGAACAGTTAAGAACTGAATGACATTCACCCCTTTATTGGTTACTTACCATCCCTGAGCACCTAAGCATACCTTTCTTTTCCTTCCTTCTCCACCCCCCCCTCTTTTTTTGTATTCCTGTTCAGGTTGCTTCTTCCATCTAGAATGGCCTCTTCTGATACATCAATGGAATAAAGCTTTGTCTGTCCTTAAAGGTAGAGATCATATACCATCTCTTTTATAGGATGCCTTCTCTATACTTCTTCTGGGCCTCAAAAGAACTATCTGTGTACCTGTCTAGAAAGCACTTTTTTAATGTTTGGTGCTAGGGAGTGAACCTAGGATCTCACTAGGATCTTACTAGGCAAGCACTCTACCACCCAGCTACATCCTCAGCCCTAGAATGCTCATTTTATCCCTTAGAGCAGTATGTGATTCATCCAGATCTTCTGATAGCAGAAAGTAGGGGGGTATTTTTTGGGTTTTTTTGTTTTTGTTTTTGAGACAGTGTCTCCCTATGTAGTTTGGCCTGGCCTTGAATTCACTATGCAGCCCATGTTGGACTTGAAATTGCAGCAGTCTTCCTGCCTCAGCCTCCCAAGTGCTGGGATTACCTGCATGCACCACCACACCCCATAGACAGAATATTTCCTTAAAGTATTTAAAGAATAGAAGTTGATATCTGGCTGGCCTAAAATACAAGACTATTTCATTATCTCAGTGCCAGTGAAAGTAGTGCAGGTGCTGCCTTGCAGGTGTGCTTAGGAGACCCAGAGTTTCAGCCCACAGACTCCAAGAGCTGTGGTTTCCATAGCACAGTGGTACTTATTACAGGACTCACAGAGAGGAGGCCCAAAAAGCACTGTGTCCAAGGCCTTCAGCTGTAGCTTCTGCCGATGGCTCCGGTCTGTCATCTTCAGCACAGTCCCTGTCATAGTGGTGTTGGTTACAGCTAGCCTGTTGAGGCAAAGAGTAGGGGTCAGTTCCTGACAGCAAAGGCAAAGAGTGTCTCAGTATGATTTCCCATCTCCTGCAAAACACTTTCAGCTCTTGCTGATTGCTCCCCTCTGCACTTCAGAACAGAGTCTCAACAGAAGTATGAAAAGGCACACAACATTTACTACAAATTTGTTCACTCTCTCTCCCCATATCCTAAGAACCCTACCCTCAAAGGATTGCCCATCTGTGACAATCCCTACATCCAACTATAACCAGAACTCCTTTCTGGGATTATCCTATATATAATCTATGTCCACTTCTCAGTACTTATAAATGAACTTTCCTGTCCAACCCAGGTCAAAATGTCATGCCATATGACCCACTGATCCTGAGAACTTGTGAATTATTTTAATCTTAACCCAGTATCATTATATATAAACCTGCTGATTAAAAAAAAAAACTGAGTTAGTCTTGTTAGCATGCATTTGAGTCACTGAAATACAATTTATTTCCCGTAAGGTTACTGTCTGTAAACAAGAAAATGACTTAGGAAAAACTGGACAGTGTTTCTCCTGCTGGAACACAGTGAATATAGAAGGAAGGGATATAGATACGAAAGGCTGAAAAATCATTCATCTGGGTCTCGTACGTGAACAGTTAACCCTAAATTACATTGTATGGTTGGTGCTCTTTTCTGATACATTGCTTTATTTCTCCAGGTGGAAGAAAAACTTATGACATCACAGAGTATAGTTCGCACTCCTATCTCAGCATGCAAGAGCAGCTACTTCCTCCTCTGGTTTAAAAAGCCCACCTACAAGACAGGCAATGAGTCACTGTGATCAGGAGGTCAGGAAAGGCTCCAGTTCTACCAGTGACTCCCCTGTCTGATCATAAGCTGCTTGGTTCCTTCCTAGGACCTCAGTTTCCTTCTTTGTAAACTTATATAAAATCAGATATTTGCTATAAACCTAGGAGTTTTTAGGGCTCTCTTTCAGATCACTTCTACTACTTGTGCTGGATTTTGTCTGATTAATCAAAGTAAACATTACCATATTCCCTACTGCCTATTTACTGATGTGCTATCTACTTACACCTATGAACTGGAATGCCATCTACTTCTAAGCAATGAGTGAAAAGAGAAAAATAGCATTTACTAAGGAACCGTGTGCCGTTAGCTGGTACTATTCTGACATTTCACATATAATACCTCATTTAGTCCTCACAACCTTAGGAATTGTTCTATTACTAGCTCCTTCTGTAGATAAGAAAACTGAGACTGAAGAGTAACTTGCCCAAAGTTATATGCAAGTGACAAATTCAGAGAATGAATAAAAATCTACCACAAATCTAGACTGTCCCTGTTATACATGCTAGCTAGTAATGGGCCTAGAACCACCCCCACTTTACCCCAAGAACTGAAAACTCCATGCTTTCTGCTGTCACTAAGGCTGTCACAGCTTGCCATCTTCTTCTACTCCTGTGCCAAGCCTGGCTGGACCTGGTCTTGGCTCTAATCCTAGGCACAGGAGGATTAAGTGAATTCATGACCTGAAAATTTTGTATCCTACATTTTGCAGTTTTAATCCAAACTATTCCTTCTAAAGAAATGGCCCAGGGATAAACAAGGCAATACTGCTACTTTCAAGAGTAGCAAGAAAGAAACCCGCATAATAGAGTTTTATGGTCAGTCATCTATTCCTTGTCTGTCTCTTATAATAAACATGGAGTCTCTCAAGACAGGAGTCAGGACTAGTGCTTTTCTGTTCTCAAGAACCAGCAGAAAGTATGACAAGTATGTGATACCTTTGGTGAAGTTTTACCAACTAGAACTAAACTGAATAGTGCAAGAAGGACTACCTTGAATTACAGAGCACAGGATGAAGATACAGTGGAAAAAAGCAGGATCTTGAGAACCAGGAAGATCTGGGTTCAAATCCTAGCTCTGCCATTTATGAGCTTGGATAAATTATAAAACTCAAGAGTTCAATTTGTTCACCCAAAAGATAAAATAATAATTCCTTCCTCCCAGAATTGTGAAAATTGAAATAATAGGTAGGAAAATATTCTACAAAGGAGGTACAAAAATTAAGTTTATTACTCTCTCCAGAGTAGGGAAAATCTGTGAAGAAGAGGCTACAGGCAGCAAAGGGGGAACAGCCAGCTCAGCTAGGCCTGGACAGCAGTGCCTGGTAGCTCTGGGGCTGCAGACTGCAATGTGTGGGTAATCCAACAGCTTTACTTTCCCCTTTCCCCTTTGATGAAGCTCATAACCAGATGCACCTACATAATAAGATGACAGATTATAATCAGCACTTACAAGGTTGTAAGCCTTCAAGGGCAAAGGCAGGTTGTTATCATCTTTATCCCCAGCACTCAGCACAAGCGCTTGGCATAGAACAGGTACCCAGTAAATACTCACTGAATAAATGAATAGGTGGATTAATGACTAAACGACACTGACACAAGAAGTCCAGGCAGTACTCTATCCTTCCCCACTCCCAGACCAAGCCCTAGCATATTGTGCCTATAAAAGAGGCAAAGTTAAGAACAGCCGTGAAGAACTCATTCCAGAAATGAGAGGGACAATGGCAGCCAGACCTACCTCTGTACCATTTTTGTTAGAGCAGATAAATTGTGTGTCAATAAACCAGAGGACTTTGTAAATAGGGGAGGGTGGAGGAGGTGAAGGGAGGGGAGGGGTGTGGGGGAAAATGAGGACTAAGACCTGTCATGTAGAGGTACAAGATCCCAATGATGAATGTAACTGTACTGTATACCTAAAAAATACCAATAAACTCAATAAAAAAAAAAAAACAGAGGAAGCTAACAGGGCCCTGAGGCTCCTGGGTGATAAAACAACATCTGGTGGAGGGACCACAAAAGAAAATAGAAACAGCACAGACTTTGAATCTAGAGCTACCTCAGATCTAAATTCAAATCACACTTTTGCTTCTAACTAGCCATGTTTGTGCCCTTGGAACCAGTTTCATCATCTATATCCAATAATACCAACCTTACAGAATTAATATAAGAATTAAATGAGATATTGTATATAAAGTATTGAGTAGAATGCCTGGCACATACTAAGCACTCAATAAATAGCAGCTGTTGCTGAGCGTGGTGGCACATGCCTATAATCCCAGCACTTGGGAGGCTGAGGCAGGAGGATCGCTGTGAGTTCAAAACCAGCCTGGGCTACATAGTGAGTTTCAGGTCAGTCAAAATTACATAGTGAGACCCTGTCTCAAAAAACAAACAAACAAATGGCAGCTGTCATACTATTCCCAGGATCAATAAGAATAGTACCTGAGAATTAATGGAAAGGCCCATCATGCTTAGCAAGCACACAACAGATGTGAGAAGAGGAGCTGTCTGTATTTAACTCCCCAGAGAAACCTGAAGGCAGATCCATGCTATCCATTCCTTTTACCATCAGGTGAGAAAAACCCAGTCTTCTGACCTTGGCATGGCATGGCCACTGAGCTGCAGCTTCCGGAAGGTCTCCTCATACTGTGGCAGCTCCACATACGTAATCAGCCACTGTACCACCTCATCCACAGTCCAGTTGTACACTGTGGAAAGAGACAAGTAAAACCATTATTCCAAAACTGACAAGCACTGCTTGCACTTATTGTTATGATCATGTTGACTTTAACATTTACCACATACATTTATTTGTGTGTTTAACGTCTCTCTTGCTCATAATATCCTAAATAGGAAAGAAATACATATTACATGGATCTGTCTCAGTTACTTTTCTTGTTGCTGGGACAAAACATCCAATACCTAAAGTTAAAGGAGGAATGGTTTATTTTGTCTCACATTTTGTAGAGGTTTCAGTCCGTAACTGGCTCTCTCCAAGGCAGGTTGGCATGGCAGAGAGGCATCACAGAGCAGCCAGGAGGTAGCAAAAGAAGCAGCAGCAGTAAGCAAAAACAGCAGCCCTCTTTCTGTCCCTAGGATACATGCCCTTAGGGCGAGTAGCACTCACACCTAGGGTGGGCCTTCCCATTTTCCACACCTAGCTAGAACTATGCCAAACCAATCAGTGGATTAATTTAGTAATCACACATTCTTAATCCCAGCATCACACAGCCTAGAACCAGCCACCTCTGAAAAGCCCCATCTATGATGGCATGAGGCTTTGAGGGGACATCTAGACACAGATCATAGCATTAACACATCTATTTACGTGATACCCTAAAACAACAAATCTACAGTGGTAGAAAGCAGATTAATAATTGGGTGGAGCCAGGATTGACTAGGAAGGAGTACAAATATTTGTACTGAAAATATTCTGTATCTTGAATGTGGTGGTAGTTACACAAATGATAACATCCATCAAAATTCATCAAACTATATTTAAAATATGTGTCTTCCATAAGTTCTATCTCAGTAACACTAATTTTAAAATATTTAATCTTTTTAATTTCTAAACTTTTTAAAAAGAATGAACAAAAGACTTTAAGGGACATGTCAAAGAAGAAGCTATAAAAATAGTGGATAAGCACATGAAAGGTTGTGCAATATTATTAGTTATCACAGAGATATACTTATTACAATTTACAATCACAGTTAAATTTCACATCTAAAAATTTTGATTTTACAATATTTTTAAAATTGTAAATGTAACCAAGGCTGGGAACCATTCTTCCATCTATCCAACTACCTAATTAACCATTCATAAAAAGTCCACTTAATGTTAAACCTGCAGGAACTTAGTTCCCAACCCAGTCAAAGAGATCAAAAACTAAATAGCATCAGTGAAGCATGGACTCTGATAAAAAAAAAAAAAAACAGCAAGCACAGAGGAGAAAAGGAGTAACTGCCAGGGATCCAGGGACAGCCTCAGAGAAGATTATGAATTATAACATAAAAGACAATAAGAGCACTTCTGAAGTACATCATGGGTGTGTGGGAAAAGGCACTTGTTATGGAATAAAGGCAGGTGCAAAGAAAAGATGTGAAATTTAATGTCTATAATATAAATTGTGGAATGTAGTGGCAGAAGAATGTTTAAGCTATGTTAGTGGTCTTGACTGACAGGCTTATACAACTATTAGTATTGTCCTGGGACACACCTGTTGCTCTGGCCAGTTAAGTAAGGTTCAACCCTTTTCAAGCCAGAAAGTATAGATCCCTCCACTTCTCACATCTGTCGTGTCCTTACTATGGAGCATGTGAGGCACTGTGCATCTATTCTCTTATTTAATGTTGCTACAAGTAGCCATAAGTGGCTATTTAAATGTAAATTTATTAAAATTTGATTAAATTAAAGTTCACTTTTTCAGTGCCACTGGCACCCCATCAAGTGTTCAATAGCTAGAAGTGACTAGGGTCTACCTTACTGGACAAGATAAATTATGCATTTCCATATTATAAAATGTTCTGTTAGACAACACTGGTCAGGATAATTTACTATGAGAAGGTTTCAACTTTATATTTTTATTTTGAAGGTAACCTAAAAGTAAAAAACAATAATATAGTTTGGATCATTTAGGAGTGAAGGGAAAAGGAAAGAAAGAAGGCTAGAAAAGAAGGAAGGAAAAAAAAGTAAGAAAAGTGAGGGAAGGAGAGAGATAAAGAAGGTGTGAGGAAGGGAAGAAAGAAACAAAGAAATCAAAATTCCAGGATTTTTGTTTGACCCAGAGTACAGATTTCCTCTTCCATTATACTGGTATCTGGATAAAATGCTCCTAAACTATGGTATTTTATATATATTTTATTGGTACATTTTAGATATACAATATAGTTACAATCATCATCGGGATCTTGTACCTTTACATGACATATCTTGGTTCTTATTTTTTCCCCATTCCCTTAGCCTCCCTTCCCCCCCTCCACCCTCCCTATGTAAAAAAATTGGTTTCCACTTTTTTTCTTTTCTCTTATTTTTTCTCTTCCCTTTTTACCTTTCCCCTACTCCTCTCATTTGCCCAACACCTTTAGACCTTTTCTTTCTATTACAAAATATCAATTATACATTTTGACCCTTATTTTTTTTCAGCTTTAATTGAGTTTATTGGTACATTTTAGGGATACAGTACAGTTACATTCATTGTTGGGATCTTGTACCTCTACATGACAAGTCTTGATTCTCATTTTTTTCCCTTACCTCTGCCCTCCCTTCACCTCCTCCTCCCCTCCCCATCTACAAACACTTTATTTTCATCTTTTCATTCTCTCACATTTTTTTCTTTTCCCTTTTTGTTCTTCCCCTACGTATCACACCTTCCCTACACCTTTAGCTCCTTTCCTCCCATTTCTAAATGTCAGTAATCTTATTAGAATCTTATGCATTGTTGCAGAATATTCACACCAGGGAAACTATTTGGTATTTACACATGTGGGACTTATTTATTTCACTTAGGAGTATATCTTCAATATGTATCCATTTTCCTATGAATGAATCTATTCTCTCGCTCTTTATGGCTGAGTAATATTCCATTTTATAGAAAAACCACAACTTCTTTATCCAGTTTCCAACGGATGGGCAAATAGGTTGTTTCCAAGATTTAGCTATTACAAACTGTGCCGCTATAAACATGGGTGCACATACTTCTCTGTGATATGATTCTTTTAGTTCTCTTGGAAAGATACCCAGCAGAGGGATGGCTGGGTCAAATGGAACCTCCAGTCCAAGCTCTTTGAGGTATCTCCATATTGATTTCCATAGTGGTTGCACTAGTCTGCACTCCCACCAACAATGGAGAAGGGTTCCTTTCTCCCCACAACCCCGCCAACATTTGTTATTGTGTGATTTCTTGATAGCAGCCATTCTTTGTGGGGTGAGGTGGAATCTCAGTGTTGTTTTCATCTGCATCTCTCGAATGACCAGTGATGTGGAACATTTTTTCAAATATTTTCTTGCTGCTCTGACTTCTTTGTCTGAGAGATGTCTGTTCATTTCGGATGCCCATTTTTGAATCGGTTGACCCTTATTTATGCTTTTAGTTTATCACACCAGAGAAACTATATGGTATTTATACTTTGAGTGGGGTACCGGGGATCGAACTTGTGTCCTTACACTTGTGAAGTAGGTGGCAGAACCACTGAGCTAAGTCCCCAGCCCCCTTTATATGATATTTATGCATGTGTGTCCTATTAATTTTACTTAAGGGTATGGCCTCAATGTGCATCCACTTAGCTATAAATGTCTCAAGTTTCTTGTTCTTTATGGCTGAGTAGTACTTCATTTTATAAACACACACACACACACACACACACACACACACACACACAGAGACACACACACACTTTATCCAGTCTCCAGTTGATGGGCAATTGGGCTGTTTCCAAGTTTTAGCTATTACAAACTGTGTCGCTATAAACATGGGTGAGCATATATCACTTATGATTCTTTTAAATCTTTTGGGAAGATACCAAGTAGGGGAATAGCTGGTCAAATGGGACTTCCAATCCTAGTTGTTTAAGGTATCTCCATATTGATTTCCACAGTGGTTGCACCAGTCTGCACTCCCACCAATAATGGAGAAGGGTTCTAAACTGTAGCATTCATAATCATTTACTGTATGTTTTAAGTATCTACATATATTGTTCTAATACTTCAGATATATTAACTCACTAATCTTCACTACTACCATGTAAAGTAGATAACCCATTTTATTCTCATTTTAAAAGTGATGAAACTAAGACAGGGAAAGATTATGCAAAGTCCTCAAAGTTCCTCAACTAGTAACTACTAAAGCCATTTTTGTCTCAGGAAAACTGGCTCCACAGTCACGTTCTAAGGCTAAAAACCTTTGTACAGAAGCAAAACTGAGGTGAGAGGTGAATCCAAATGACATCATTTAGGTCCTGAGTCAGAACATGTATATAAATAGCCCTACTCATAGATATTTCATCTTTGTGCAACAAGTAAATTTCCCTCTTTTGTTTAGAGCAGACTTTCTGTCATAACAGAAGCTAATCCTAACTGAAACAATTATTGAGTGATCATTTACAACATGGCAAATCACATCATCACCTTACCTGGAGCACTGTAGGTAATTATCCTTCAATATTATACTGTGATTATTTAATGAATAACCATGAAATTATCCTTTAATATGATTTTGGCATTTGTGTATATTTATTTTATTTTGGTTTTTTGAGACATGGTCTTTCTACGTACTTCAGACTGGCCTTATACCAGAAGCAATTTTCCTGCTTCAACCTCTGGAAACTAAGATTACAGGCATGTGCTACCACATCCAGCTTTTTGTGTGTATTAAACATACAGAAAAGCTGGGCATGGTGGTGCAAACCTGTAATCCCAGCACTCAGGAGGCTAAGGTAGGAGGACTGCTGTGAGTTCGAGACCAGCCTGGGCTACACAGTGAGTTCCAGGTCAATCTGAGACCCTGTCTACAAAAAAAAAAAAAAAAAAAAAAAAAAAATTAACCTCTTCACAGTTTGTTTTTTGTACCAGGGATTGAACTCTGGTCCTTGCGCTTGTGAGGTAGGTGGCAGAAGCACTGAGTTAAATCCCCAGCCCCTCTTCCCAGTTTTAAATAATTTTGTAAAGGCTTTGGATATCCTGAAAGTAAAGAGTAAAATTTCCTTTGTGAAGCCGCTGAAGTTCACTGCCCAGGGTACCCCACCTTGGGCTGAGCAGTGGGGAGCATCAGCTCATGGCTATTGCTGATGTGTTCCTGGGTGAGGGTGAGAGTAAGTGCAGGGTCATTACAGTACCCTTACTGGCTCTTGGGAAAAAGAAGTGAGGCCTTTTCTTTTTAAAAAATTGCCCTAGGGTATATGAAGATCTACTTAACGTGATGCAGTGAGTTGCTGAGGAAAATGATTCCACGCAGTTACAGACAAGGAACCCTTCAACTAATTCAAAGAAAAATTAACCTCTATACTTTGTTAAAAGTGAATTACTATATAGAGGAATAGTAACAGACTTAATGCACAAGGAACACATTCAGACCAAGTGAAGGTCTGATGCATTATATAAATCAAAATGTACAGTAGTTAAATAGTAAAAAATGGTGGGAGGAATGAGTCATAAGATGGCACCTAAGTATACAGACATACTGAATTTAAGAGAGCCTGGGGCAATTGAGTTACAGCAAAAGACTGGATTTGAAGTGTTTTTGTTTACATTTGTACATAAATTGTATATAGCAACTTTAAACTTACTATGTTTGTATATATTTAAGTAACATGATAAAAATAAGTCAGCCCTGCAGGTTCAAGATAATTTATATTTTTCCTAAAATGAGTCTGTGCATTACTCAAGCTTGAAAACTACTGCCCTGAGCAGCAAGAATCTAAGGAACCATTCAGGCAGAATGTTATGATGAGATCCATCACAGTCCTCTTAGGATCCGTATCTTTACCAAAAACTACCTATCATCAGAATTCTATCTAATTTCACTTCAATAGGAAACACTGAAGGTATGAATCATATCCTATTCCTACTGCCAACTACTGTTTCTAAAATTAAAGCTTCATATATGTTAGCATCAATAAGAACTTACTCAAAGAATAACTGCCCTAAATGGGTAGTTGCAGAAATGTCCTGAATGTGGACCTCCAAACAACAACAAAACTGCCTTTAAAACTATTCAAATAACCTGGGAAAGCTGTACATTCTCACAATCCTAGCTACTTGGGAGGCTGAGGCAGGATGATTACAAGTTCAAACCTAGTCTGGGCAACTTAGCTACTCCTTGTCTCAAGAAAAGGACTGGGATGGCAGCCAGGGATTTAGCTCAGTGGTGCTGCCACCTGCCTCACAAGCACAATGTCCTGAGTTCAATGCCTGGTACCAAAGGTGGGGGGGCTGGGCTCTCAGTGTGAAGCCCTGAGATTAATCCCCCATACCAGAAAAAAAAAAAAAGACTACTATCTCCTGTGGATATATAATTTCTGAAATGCTAATCAAAAAATAGCTATTCTTGTAGGCACACCTCAGATCTTAAATTGTTTCCATCACTCTTGCATAAGCTACAGAAGTTTGAACATTGGGACCTGTCCTTTGATTTTCCTACTTCTGTCACAGTGGAGCTCTGCATATAATGCAAAACAGACAGCCAGAAAGACATTTCAAATGAAAGAAAGTTAAAGGCAAAAATCCTCCAATCTCAAAGTACTCAAGCACTGCTGATGAGTGCCTCTGGAGTTAAATATGCCTCTCTGCAGAGGCATGGGAGCTGAGAAGGGAAAAGTTCTAGAAAGAGGAAATGAGCTGGGTATGCTGTGCTCAAAGATTACATCACAGAATACAAGAGACTAGAGGTTTGGGTAAATAGAAATTAGTCACTGCTTGGTCAAATTTGTAGCTCCCAGACTAGGATATACTGGAAGGAAAAGAGAAGTTAATTTCTAAGAGATAGATTCAAATCACAGGGTTTGGGAAAAAAGAAGGATCACAGTGTTAGGGTTACAGAAGCGTTGAGGAAAGTAGAATGCACCACTTATTCCTGAAAATGAAAATATATCCTCACACATTACAAATGTGGTAATTAACTACGGTCTGGAGTGACAGGTAATGAAGGCACAAGACAATGACACACACATAGATGATGCATATAGACAAGTGCTAGCCTGTAAAGTACAGAGAACAACGCACTCCTGCCACTGATGCCAAGGGAACTTGGCATCATCTAACACAAAGGGGCCCGTCTGCTTGGCACACGGAGTAGAAAGAAAGATACTTTTTTGTTGTGCTAGAAAGGCCTGAGGCCTTTTGTCAACTGGGAGGGCCTTTTGCCTATTGGGAGGATGTCTTAATACAAGCCTGGGCATAGACTCTCCACATGTAAAAACTCTTCTATCAGCACCCTACAGCACCCTGCAGCAGAGGCAAGCAGGAGTCACTCTCAACCCTGATTTCTTGGCCTGTGTACCAAAGACACTCTGAATGAGGTAATCAATTCTGCGTGGCTGTTCTATGTATTATAGCAAGGTATTTTACAACATCCCTGGCATATGCCCTCTAGATGCCAGTAACATACTGCCAGTTATAACATAAGGAATGTCTCCAGATACTACTGCTGAATGTCCCCTGGAAAGCAAAATTGTCCCAAGCTGAGAACCACTGCTTAAGCACTGCACTGAGGCAGACAGTCTCTAAGAGGATCCCTGTACTCCAATGAAAATGGATTCTGACTAATCAGGTCCTATATAGCTAAGTGCAGGAGAAAGAGATAATGGTTTCACTATGTCAGGCCAAACCTCTAGGCAGTTTTTGTTTGTTTTTAGCTCTGCATATCACTCTGTTACCTAGGCAGCATTCTTATCTGGGTAGGACTTGGCAGCATGTTGTCATCCACCCAGAGTCATTGCAGTCTGAACAAAATAAGTCACAATGAGCTGAATCCTGAATAACATCTGTATCTCACCAACTCTGAGTCCCAACATGATCACACTCAACAGTCCAGTTGAGGTATCAGGTCTTCTCATCTCTAAGATTCAAGTACCTAAAAGTTAAAAAGACCCTTTCTTATTCCATAAGAGAAAATGGAAGAGAATCCCTGAGCTAAAATGAAGAGGCAACAGCAAGTTCAGAGACCCCACTATCAATGAAAGGCTACAGAACAGAGACAAGAAAAACTCATGGGAGAAGACAGATACAGACTCCTGATAATTCACACAGCCAATCCCAGGAGGAGAAGCAGGCAAGTGGCTCTAATTCATAAGTCTCCCTAAGCCTGTTCATGTGGCCCTAGACAGTTCAAAGACTGCAATTCTGGTAAAAAAATGAACAATGCTACACAGAGTCAGAGGAGGCTATCTAGAGCTTGGAACAGAGAAAAGTGACTAACCAGGCAGTCTCCAATCTTATTAATTATATAATCTATGTTTAAGAACATGAAAAGTGCAAGGTGTGGTGGTTGACACCTGTAATCCCAGCACTCTGGGAGGCGGAGGCAGAAGGGTGGCAAGTTCAAGCCTATCCTGAGCAACAAACATAGTTGACCTAACAAGACCCTGGCTCAAAAATGAATAAAAATAAATAAGACTTTGAGCATATATTGCCAATGTATGTGTATCCTCTTGTAAATCTGATTCACATACTAATATTAGGTGCACTGTAAAACATACATAAAAATTAAAGAATGAAATAATTAAGTAAATATTGTTCAATTCCTGAGGACTTTAAAACACAGGATTTTTACTGCATTGTAGAAAAAGCTCTAAAATTAAAGCTAGAAGACTTTGATTTTCATTCTATCTGCCATGGACCTGCTTGAGCAAATCATTTAACCATTATAAACCTCCTGTCATCTATCAAACATTTTTTGTTCTATTCCATGCCAGGCACAAGAAACAGATGTGATCAAGAAAGAGGTCTCTACCTCCATGTAGCTTATAATCTATCAATAGCTATCTTTGAGAGTTGTTGAATAAATTAATTCATAAAAATGAATCTGAAAATGCCTAGGATTTAATACAAATTCAGTAGTAGTTGTGTTTCTCATATACACATTCATTCAAAAAAGGAGTAGACGTTAAAAACTGGATAGGATCTGAGCTGGAGAGAGATGTAGGTCTGCCAGAGGAAGGAACACAAGCTACAAAGTGTACAGCTATAAAGTGTCTAGAGCCCAAGGGTCATGTTTTGGGACAAGGGCAAGGGGATATTTATTAAGTACCTACTATTTGTCAGGCATCACTTTAAAATAAAGTCATATCCCATGGTGCTTATGTCCTCAAGAAGAAAAAGAAAGTAAAATACTATAAGCAAATAAGTATGCATCATGTGGTAATAAATATATTAAGAAAAATTAAGAAATAAAGGGGTAGAAGTATAAAGAACAGTGCTTTTAGGGAAGGGAAGGCCTTTTTGATAAGGTAATATTTGAGCAGAAAATAAAAGTGTGAGCCATGTGGAAACTTGGGGTAATGGCATGCAGCAGAAGGAAGAGTAAATATTACTCTCTAGCACTTGAGCTATACTGATACCTCAGGGATGTGCCAAGGCAGACATGGGCCTTGGCCAATCTTTTCTTTTGCCAAGGAAAGACTAAGCAATTAGAAAAGGGCTCCTGAGTCAGTATCTCTTTCCCATAATGGACCTGTGGCGCCTCCAGATGAAGCCTTTACCTACTTTTGTGGTTTCAGATTCATATCCCAAGAGAACTATATTTGGCAAGAATGTTGCCAGTATCTTTTTATACAGCTACTAGTCAATTAGTTGGTCACTTTGTCAGCTTTTGGTCAGCTATTTGGTCAGCTAGTCAAATATGACACAACAGTTAAAAGTGCAGGCTTTGACACCAGGTGCTTTGGACTGAATCTGGGATCTGCCAATTACTAAATATAAGATCAGGAGCAAGTTTTACTACACTTTTGTCTGCCTCATTTTCGTCACCAATAAAGTGGTGATAATCAGAAATCTCATAAGATTGTAGTGATGATACAGGACAGTGATAGCAAACCTTTTAGAGCTTTCAGTGATAACAGTCGGCTACGGCATGCATACCATAGATTTACCCCCACTGATATAGGAAGTTTCAAGGCTATAACAAGTGCTAAAATTAGCTATTTTTATTATTATCACCATTCATTCATTTATTCATTCGTCTGCCAAGTTTTTATTGGTTTCTGCTCTAGAAAGGTGAGTTACCAGCACAGAGATGAGTCTGGATGATCTCCATTGTAAGGGCTCTCTTCTAGAGAGGGAGACACATGAGGAAATAAATAAGTATAACAGAGTGGGGTAAGTGCTTGGTCACATACACATATAAGATGATGTGAGGGCACAGAGAAAGGAGTGACTGACTTAGATAAAGCATCACAAAGCCTAGCTACTTACTTGGCCAGTCTGGATAAGAACACTTCGAGTCAGCTATAGTACAATTCTCCCAAAGTGGATCTTCCTAAAGATAGTGTATTACTTGGAACTGTGGTTCATCTCTGAGCAGTTTGCTTCTGACTCTCACTAGCAGCCTGTCATCTTGTTAGTTTGTTTTAAAATACAATGTTAGTATCAAGCCTTGAACTGTCACTATAAAACCAATCTGGGCCTCAGGCCTAGGCCTCATGTGATAGGCCAACTAGGTTACTGGGCAAAAAGTAAGGCTCTCAGGGCCTACTAAAACATACTATTAAAAGCTGGGCATGGTGGCACATGCCTGTAATCCCAGCACTCGGGAGGCTGAGGCAGGAGGATCACTGTGAGTTCCAGACCAGCCTGGGCTAAATAGTGATTTCCAGGTCAGTCTCAACTACATAGTGAGACCCTGTCTCAAAAAAC